GTTCTGCCCTAGTTTAGCTGAAAGGAGCCAGTTTACCCCCTCGCTCCCTTGTGTCCCTGGGTATAGCTGGTTGCATGTCTGCCCTAAGGAGTCTCGATGGACAAGGGGAAATAAATCACCCTTGGTCACTGATGGACGGTGAGAGCCGTGCCAGCTGCTGCCATTACTGACTAGCAGAGACCTGGTCAGACCTGAGGAGGCACAGGAGAGGAGCAAGGGCAGATGGGAGAGTCAAAGAATAAGCTAAAACGCTAAGTTACCATAAACTTTTCTAAAAAGGAGAATCAGATTTCTTGAGAAATTTCTTAATTGAATTTCAGAGGCAGTAGTAGAAAAGAATTTATATTTCCAAAATGGAAGGAAGAATAAATGACCTTTTAGAGAAAACAGAAACATAAAGATGCAGTCCTTAGAACTTCAAATAGGATGTATATAATTTTGTGTGCAAACAGCTAAGAACGTACCTGGAAGATACAAGCACTCCTATGTCTTCCTATCCGGGATCGACTGTTTTTGTTGACAATGTCACCCCAGCAGGGGCAAAACCTCCTCAAAACTGAAGTTAAAAGGAAATACTGTAGGCAGAAAAAGGGTTGTAAATATCCTGCATCAAACACTTTTCTGTTAAATTAATTTAAAATGCTTTGTGATTACAGTGAAGGAAAAGTAAGCAGCTTAGAAAAGGCAACAAAACTTTCAAAATACCTGTTGCCTGGTCCAGCTAACACATCTCACCAAATGTGCAACTTCTTACCCGGGAAATAAGCATATTCTGATAACCATATTATTCTGCAGATGTTTGTGATGAAACACAGAAAGATGCCATACATCTTTTTATATTCCTAAATGTATGTGAGACGCACATGAGACGCACACCAACAGACAGATGGCAGATGCAGGAAGGAGAAGAGCATAAAGAATAAAATTCCTCAAAATAAACCATCTTGGGGACTATTAAAAATTACTAAAGTTATCAACACTCACACAATTTTCCTATTAAAGAATGTCGAGCTTGGGGAAGTAAACCAAAAACGTCAATAACCACAATTGACCCTTCATGTGAAACTGTTGGTGTTTTTTTAATAAGTTGTGGTGAGGAGAGTTCAAATCACAGCATAACAGAACTTGTTTAAGTGAATTAATGCAGTCTGCAGCTAGTATATCATATAGCAGTATTATCCAGTTAAGGAAAAATACAGTTGAAAAACATTACATTTTAATTCCCCATGAGTCAACTGTAAAATCACCACCGGGAGAACATGGAAATAGTTAAGCATAACGAACCTACAGAAAGATAATTACCTCCAAATTTAGGAAGTACATTTACCTGCCTACCAACCTCTTCAAGCCTATGCTTAGCACACGTGCAAAAATACAATACAACTACTGCAATTATTACTATCATTTTCTTTTGCCCTTAGGTGAGAAACACCTGACAGCTACATGCTGAGCCATGCTAACAAAACTAAACCTTTCACTTTCTTTAATAGTAAAATTACCATTACTGAATCATTGTCATAAAAAGTGCATTCAAGTACATTACCACTTATTTTAAATAAACACCAATTTTGAAACAATCAACTCTGAAAAGCTGCATAAGTTTTTTTTTTTTTTTTTTAAAAAAAAATCCCTGATTATATTTCTATTTATTCACTGTGGTGGCCTGAAACACTGTATTTTTAGAGACTAACTACCACTTAATTTCTTTAAAAAAACACACACACACACACACAAACAAACCTGTGTAATACAGAACAGCAGTGAAGCAAGAAAAATGTGTGCTTGTCACTTATCTTCACTGTACATAAGAACTGTGTAAAATATGGTACTTGTGCCTCATTAGTACATGGGAAAACACAATTAACTCATAGCACAGAGCACATGGTTTACCAAGATATTACTGTTAAACTCAAGGTTTGTACTTTCACCTCAATTCTGTATTCAGGCCACCAGAGCATCCCCACTGAGGTTCTTGGGAGGCTTTGGACACAATCAATAGCATGTATTTTTCATCCGATAGTTAACAATCTGTGTAATTAATATCGACTATGGGACTACCGGTTTGATGCCAGCTCCTGAGTTTGAAGCTTATCCCAGTCTACCCTAGAAAATAACTTGTATGCCACAGTACCCAACAATTTCCATGCTGCTGCAGTTTCTTCATCAAAAGAGGATCAGACTCAAAACAGAAGCTTCTTTGGGGGCTTTTAAAATCATGTTAGGTTGGTCAGTTTTGTTCATCCAATTATTCACGAGCACCTCGAACTTTCAGCATTCCATATGATGAGTGGTATGCACATTCCTAAAAAGACATCAATTATCTGAATTTTGTATAACTTTCTAAAAGAAGCCATACTTAATACGGTAACTAGGAAAAATCTTATCCCTATAAAGATCAGAAAACAAAACTACTCAGAATGTGTATTTTGCTAAACAGCTTATTTATGTTTATAGTTGCTACTTACAAAAGTGACACGAGAAAAGAACCTGTATTCTGAATGCAGTGACCAGAACAGAATGTCTATAGCCCTTGCCAATACATCAAAACTTATCACGTGCTTATTGAGAAGGACTTCCAAACTGTCAGCCTTCTGGTTTACACATCAGCAGTTGGAACTGTCTGTCTCTCTCATTTTTTCAACGCTGTCTTCTTTGTATTCTGGTTTAATTTCGCCTTCATCTTCCTTGTGTTGAGTTGGATCTTTTTCAATGACCTGGTCTTTGGTTTGGGGTTCATATGTGGAAACAGGATCTAAAACTACAACTGGTTCAGCTTGTTTTTCACCGCCAATGTATTCTCTCCTGCATCCGATGCTACTGGGAGGCCTATGGGACGAAGAGTTAAACAAAAAAGTAAAAAGCAGAGAGAAAACAGTTGTCTTTCACATTCCTGGATTCAGACCAATAAAAAACCCAAAATGTGCTAAGTCTAATCAACATGCACACAGTAGTCTTTGAGATGCCAGCCATTTGAAAGAAAAATGAAGCTATCAGATTACATAATAGGAGCACAAGGCCAGAAGAAAGAAGGCAGAGAAGTCAGAGCAATTAACTACAGAAGTATTAAAAAGCCAAATGCACCTACCTGCTTAATTGCATCTCTTCTCAGGAAGTGCAAAGCTCATGGACACATTGTGCATTCCTCCTCACTGTATGCAGCCCAGCCCCTGTTCTGCCCTAGTTTAGCTGAAAGGAGCCAGTTTACCCCCTCGCTCCCTTGTGTCCCTGGGTATAGCTGGTTGCATGTCTGCCCTAAGGAGTCTCCATGGACAAGGGGAAATAAATCACCCTTGGTCACTGATGGATGGTGAGAGCCGTGCCAGCTGCTGCCATTACTGACTAGCAGAGACCTGGTCAGACCTGAGGAGGTACAGGAGAGGAGCAAGGGCAGATGGGAAAGTCAAAGAATAAGCTAAAACACTAAGTTACCATAAACTTTTCTAAAAAGGAGAATCAGATTTCTTGAGAAATTTCTTAATTGAATTTCAGAGGCAGTTTCTTTTTCCAAAGAAGCCTCCTTTCTTCTCCTCTGATGCAAGAAGCTATTGCTTCTCAGGCTGAATGAGTGAAAATTTCCTTGTGGAAACAGATATTTCTGAAACATTTTCTCTTGCCCTGTGCTGGGCAATGAGACTGTCCGCACCCAGTCCTCTCAGAAGCCGTGGTCAGAACCCACCCCCTGAAGGTGCTGGGCTACTGCCTTGCTGCCTGAGGGCTGAGGCAGCTGCAGTGGGCAGGCGTGGGACTCTTGGAATTTTCTGGTCTTCCTGGCTAATGCTAGGATCAGGCCTCTTTGTCCCAGAGAAGTGACAATTAACCATGACCCAGCACATTGCCACCCCACTTCTGAATGTTCCAACCGGTGCTGGGGGGCTGCTGGCCAGCATCTGCCCAGTGCTGTGCCAGCCCCTCACCAGGAGTTGGTTTCCACTATTCCCTGACCCCTCAGGTCAGATCTGCTGGTAGACACTCTTACCACCTAGCATTCTCCCTTGTTGGACTTACCACAGTTCATTAGTTATTTCCTCTCTCTCTCTTCCAATACCATGTACGAGGCAGGGACTGTTTAGCTGTGTTCATAAATCTATCCCCAGCACCTAGCGCAGATCCATTTGTGGGGTAAACGAATGAGCAAACACTAACAAACTGTGAAAGGCTCAGAATGAATGGGGAGAAACCAAGGTTTTGGTGTGAGCGGGTGTGGAGGCCTCTCTTACACAACAAAAACAATGATGAACTACTGGAAGACAGTGGCCTGCATGACCCTGTCACAGGCACAAAACACTCAAACCCAGTGACCACACTGTTATATCATTACATGATTAGTACAAGATTTGTCCAAATGCTTGAAAATCACTCCCTCTGGCTATCAGGTTAAATTAACCATGTGACTTGGTCATCATCATAAGTGACTAACACATAAGTCTGTCTTCCTTAAAGGTGGTAAAGATAATGAGGAACCCGGGAGGACAGGCTGTACTGTGCTGTAGTGAGGACAGATTCCTTTATTTTTGCCTGAACACGGCAATGCCCTACTCACTTGAAACCACGACACTGTCCATCTATGCTGGCCAGACTTCTCGAGACATCTGTTCCAATGCTTTGGGAATCTGTATGGGATGTATTAATAGTTTCCCCAGTGGTACCTGTTTTGACTTTCTCTGACTCAGGCAACATCTGAAAGCCTGTGATCGGAGAAACAGAACCACTATGAGTGATATAAAGATTTATCATGGGAATTAGACTTTAGGCAATGGAGGGCGCTAGTCAGGCATCTACATAAGTCTGCTGCCTCCTCATCTAACGTTGGGCCTGCAGTCAGTTCTCCTGGTGGCTGGGAGGGAAGATGGCTGTAAAGTAGCAGAAGCCCAGGACAAACTAGAGCTCCGTCCATCTCTCGCAAGCAATCCTGATGACACAGAAAACCTGCAGGATACGCTAGAGCCTTCCACACAGAGCTGCACGTGCACCTGGCCCAGGATTTGGAGAAGCTGGAGGAGTTGAGGGGAGCTGGAGACACTGTGGGTCAGCCACTGCCAGGTGCCAATCAGGTGGGTCAGCACACCAGCAACATCATGCACGAGCTGTAACAGAGCCTGCCCTACATGCACCTTCAGAGGGTTAAAAAAAATTTTTTTTGAGTCTACTACTTCACTTCTGCCTTCTAAATCTCATGTAAATTTCTCTTGTGGCAAACCTGAAACTGGAAACAAATGGGTAAGGGAATTTTAGGAAATGAAGTTGCAGCGCAGCTGAGGTTACAGGGAAAGCCCTAACAAAGCATGCAGGTTAAGTCACAGGTCTGGTTTATCATCTTGGGTCTGAGCCTACTGCTTTATAAGCTAGCCAAGCTGCTCTGAGCATGCAAAGAAGTATTTACCTCACTCTAGGTGAGCAACGTCCATCAACCCATACTAACCTTCATCATTTCTGGAGAATTGCCATGGATGTTTCCATGCCCATGTATGTCTGCAGGTGAAGGGGAGGTGAACACATCCTAGAAAAAGCTTCCTTCATCAGCTGGGGGCTAAAAACTTCCAGAAGTGTTCTCTGGGCTTCACAGGACAATAAATGGACGGTGATTGAACTGAAAACTCAGAAACCTTGTCAGGCTGAAATTGTCCTGGAATTGTCTCAGTTCAAAGAACCTTTTCGTCTGTCCTGAAGTAAGCTTCTCAACTGCAGATTAATCTATTATTAAGTCACTGGTAGGCTACCATTTCAGAATCCCTTTGTTGATTATCACTGAACTAGGCACAGTGGGCAATTTCTCTGAATCTATGCACTGAAGGACAGTAATCGGTTTCTCAAGGATAATGACCACTGCCTTGGCATCCCAATGGGAAGGCGGAAAGGGACTATGGCGATCATGTCATCTGATCTGTCTTTTCATAGAGGAGGACGATGGGGTGTGGAGAGAACAACCTGGCCTAAAACCACACAGCTCATCAGTGACAGAACCAGAACAATAGCTGGGAGCTCCTGTCCCCCTGTTCCTGCTTTTTCCATGGTACCAAGCTATTTCCTAAAGGCATCTTCTCCTAAAAACATGAAAATGATGCAACAGGCTAATTTTGGCATGTTTACTGATTTCTTTCTTTATGAATCTTCCTTTCCACCTGCATCTTCCAGATCTGTAAATATAAAGTCCATCCCTTCAAGCTATCCCTTATTTTTTTCCCTCTGTGGTTTGTAGCTCCTCCTGGTTTGGTATCACTAGATCCGTTCCTGACTCCCACGGGGAGCTGCACGAGGCTTCTTCTGGAATGAGAAGCCTTTCTCCTAGGCCTCATTCTATCTCCATTCCCATCCTATGGGAAGAGCCAGACAGCGCTATCAGTGATGTGCTCTCCCACAGTGGCAGGTTCTAGAGGGTTAAATCTGAAGCATCTCCCCAAGTTAGAAATCCCAGAAGCTCAAATGCAACAATTCAATAGGAATTGTAATATACTATTACTCTGTTCAATTTTTCTACTTTAATGCAACATCTAAGGACAATGACCACAAATAATTTAAAGTCAGCACTTGTAAAAAGTAACAGCAACCTTTCTCCTGCGTGCTACAAAATCTGCAAGTAAAACTTAAGTTTTATAGGTGCTAAGACGATTAAAATCATGGGATGTTCAGGCTGAGAGGGATCACTGACGTGAGCTAACCTCTTCATTTGTCAGATGAAGCCTCCAAGGAACAATGAGGTTAAATGATTTGTCCACCAGCACATGACTTAATAATAGCAGATACAGGACTAAAATTTTGCAATCTCGATTTCCTGTCCAATATTATTTTCTTACCACAACATACTAGTAGTCATTTATGATCCATTCAAAGAGATATTTTTCATGGGCCATTTAAGACCATATGCTCAAAGGCTATTTCAAGACAAAAAAAAAAAGCAAAATGAAAGCTAGGAGAAATATACCAATCTACGCCACTCTACAAAACCTGATGCCCAAGTACAACTTGGGTACCCTTTTAGAAAGCAGCTACTGTTCCCCAGCTGCAGGAGAGCCCAAATGTGGGGCCTGGGCAGGTTCGGCCACTTACTGGTAAAAGGAAAGACCGGACTCCAAATCGTACTGGTACCGGAAGAATCAGAACAATTGTAATTCGCTATGCCAAAGCTGAACTTTATAAAGGGACTCAGTGATTTCTCAGACTATGTTACAAGAGATGAAAGCACAGTGTTCTAATTTTTAAAAAGCACATCATTGTTTGCATTCAATGAAATTCCTTTCAAAATCAACTTTCCACGTTCCAATTATATTCAACAACATTCTAGCTAACATTTCAGCTGCAATTCAAATTAACTAATGCCCAAAAGAGCCCTAATCGAAGTGGTTCTGAGCTCAATTGAATACAATCAAAGCTCATGAAATGAAGGGGGAAATGCTTATTTCATGCAAATTCTGCATATCACTCAGGCTTAATTTTACTGATAATATAAAGGTGGGACATTTTGAACATTACAGTGAATGAAACTTTTAAGCTGTGAGAGTTATTTTATAAAATGCTACCTCTGAAAAGCTGATTGCCAAACAGTATAAAAATGGTTTGAGGCATAAATGCCAAGTTCATTTCTATTTCACTTCAGAGGTAACTATCTTTCAAATCGCAACAGCTGGACTATTTAACACAATCTGGTGAATCAAAGTATAGTTCTTCTCTGGTCTCCCAGTGGGACGTCTGCATTAGTCTGTGGCAGCCATCCAACAAATGACGCACAGCCGGACGGTCTGAACTCTGTTTCATTTACAATAAAAATGGATAAAACCACAATCATATTTACCACCTTCAAGGACAGAAAACGGAAAGATTTAAATTTGTCT